AAAATTAGGTTCTTAAGGTCCTGGAGTCAAGAAAGGTCACCAGGAAGTGATGTCACTTGGACATGTTCCTTCCAGGCAGGAGGTAACAGACACCCACCTCCCTATTTCATCATATGTGTATTGTCTGCCACACAATGAAGATCTATTTGTATACCAAGCCAGGTGCCAGTCAAGAAATTGTGAAATCTACAAGAAAGAGAAAATTTGCAAGAAGAAACAAAAACAAGACGGGGGGGGGGTATCCTGTTTATAAATGAAAACAAAGAATAGAACTTGTATATCTTGGAAGGCAAAGGAACACACTGGATCCTTCACCAGGGAAGCAAGCTGACAGCATACTTGTCTCATGAAAGGAGGATCACAGCCAAGTCTGGTTAAAAAGTACTGCAAGGAATTTGAATGATCCAAACTCAACAAGACATAGAGTATCTTGGTAATTAAGTCTAGGTTCTAGAATGTGTGTTATAATTTTGTTTTCGAAGTAACCATTTGTTCCCAATATTTTCATTACTTGAATCTCCATGCTTTGCTAAATAAACTTATGAACTTTGAATTCACTATACACATATCTAAGTGCTGTGTGTTAAGTGGAACAGTGATTGGAGGTAGAACTGGTAAACTGTACTGTTTCTTTGGAAGTAGTGAATCTGAATACCGTGAGTGTCCAGTGAACCAGGAGCTGGACACTCCAAGGAGACACTCAGAGGGCTTGAGGGTTGGAGTGTGCTTATGGTAAATAAAATGTGTTACTGTGTTACCAGCCTATCTATAACACATCAGAAACAATATTTATACTTTTCACATTTTCTATTCCTCTTGGCTTAATAAATATGTGTTAATTACATGAGGACATAGTATGCATTGAAATAATAAAACACCATGGTTAAAATATTAAAAACTGTTGGCTTTCTGAGCTGCTAAAATCCATCATACTTTTATAGCAAGTAATGGCAGACATCAATATGATATAATGTTCAGTTGAACTGACGTTGAGGGTGGTCAACACCTCTTAGAATGAGGTCCTTACTATTTATAGTTTCCAATGATGCTTGCTAAATTTCTGATCTTTTTAGTGAACCTGATGTAAGGTTATGTAGTAATCCTTATTCATTCAAAGAACGGTTTATGATATACCATAAACAGTGGAAAATGTGATGCTTGCTACTACCAAGTGACAAAATACTATTATGCAATTTTCAGTTATTGCAAATCACAGCACTTTGCTAAAGCACAATTGTGTCTCATGCTTTCTATGCGAAACTCTTTCACTTCATAGTCTTAAATTTTGAAAAGATAAACCCTTAAAGAGCAATTAGCTGAAGTTAATTAAGAGCCGTTTGAAAAATAATCCAGGTTAAAGTTTCTGCCAAGTAGATTTTCTCCAAGAGGAATTTTATCTTGTCAGACATAGATATAACAACTGTTGAGTGACGAAGCAGGTTCCAAATTTTCTCCTTTTACTCATAGCTTTTCAGTCATTTCTACTGTTCTATTCATGCCTTTTCCAGGCAATTGCTTTCAAGAAGTCAAGCAAATCCAAATGTGGTATTTAACTAATAAAGGCCATATCTTTTGAAAGAACATTTCCTTTATAACCTTTGTAAAGGTAGACAGCACTGATGACTTCTGCTTTTTTAAAGTCAAAATGTCACTATGTGGGGGGCAATGGCATGATTGCTGACTCTGGCACCTTGGGATTGTATGCAAGGGCTAACCCTTGACTTGTAAAACTGCAGGTAAGGACCTAGAAGGTGCCATAACAGCTTGTCTGTTCTTCTTACTGTGAAACTGTCCACCTAATTAAGGTCTCTCTAATATTAGGAATCTTTTGCCTCATCTTTCTCGTTGTGTGAAATTTTGAGCACTAGAAAACAAACAAGGAAAAGCACGAGATAAAAGTACAGCAGAATGTTAAGCTATCTACTGACATTCTAGCTTCTAAAAAAATGGATTGCTCCACAAGAGATCCAATTCTGCAGGCTTTCTCAAGCAAAATATCTACTAAAGTCAATGGGAGTTTTACTAGGATTTGGGCTAAATGAGCCAAGTGATCATAAGGCCTTAAAAGTGGTCAATGGACATTGAAAATACTTTCTTGCATGATATTTATGTTGACGTGCATATCAATGTAATTTAATCTGTTTAGGTTTTTAAACCACAACCACCCACCTACCTCACCTCGGTATCTGAGGAGCACATACTGCATATCAAAAACATGGCTTAAAATGACATAAACCTGAGAGGATTTTCTATGAAATGATGAAGAGAGTGCATTACTTTTTTTCATCTTATATTAGCTGCTAATGAATTAGAAAGTGAAGGTCTAACAAAGGCTGTGTATGCAATAATTGAGTTATATTACTCAGCAAATCCCCACACCTACTACTAAGTTTTCTCCCCACATTATCCCCCTGGAAATCTAAATAGTAGCATTGACATGGCATATTTGTAACTCTCTCTCTCTGCAAAGCAATGTTTAGTTGCCTGTGGTTAGTTTACTGGACTACAGTAACTTCATAAAATTGGTCTTTGTATAAGCTGCTACTGACCATTAAAATAAAATTAGGAGGTCTGCCTAGTTATCTGCTGCAAGATCATCACTTCAAGTCTGATTCAGCATTCCTTCTGTACCCCAAATTCCCACTGAAATCAATGAGAGTTTTATTTATTTAAGGAATCAAGGATGAAGTCCTATATATTTTGTTATGGGGCCATAATTCTGCACAATGAGGAGAAAAGTAACTTAGTGGAGAGGTGCAATAGGTTAAAAAAGGTGTTTGGAGTGATAAACAGAAAATGTCTCTTTATTCTGTTGGCACACTCCAGCATTATCAAAATTAATGCAAGACACTGAAAATGGGACACAGACTTATTATATGACAGAAGAATTTTGAGTTTCAATTCTTATAAAACTAATAATATTTAGTTCCTTTCCATTTCTCTCTACAATAAAACCATACATTCTTCATACAGACTTCCTTAAGCCCACAAAGACTAATGCGAAACTACTATGTATATTTTAGTAGTAAGCTTTAATTTAGGCCAACAGAACTGAAAGGCTATGATAGTCACACTTTTCAACTGTTTGATTCTGAGAAGAACCCTAATATCTAATCTTTTGCCTTCCTTAAAGTGGTAATGGTAAAGAGATCTGCAAAAGAGAAAACATCAGATTTTTATACAATAGCTTCAGTTTCTCTTTAAATTATTCTTGACTTAGAGCCACTTGTGTTTAAAGTCACCATTAACCTTTATCTGAGCAAATCTTGATTTTATTCATTTATTCTGAAGTGTTAAGAAGGATATTCCAGGCCTACCTGGAAAAGCTAAAGGTTTAGGGTGAAATTCAGAAAGTTCATTAGGTGCCTAAATCCCCTACTGCAAGCCACACAACTCCTGCTGAACCCTGTAATTCACAAAGCTCATTTGGTGCCTAAGTTTTTTCCTCTGGGCATATGCATTGCTGCCTAATTTTAGGCACCTGGACACCTATCTCCTGCTAAACCCCAAAACGATTCATGAGCCAGGGAAGACAGTCGTTCATTCACCTAACTTGCTCCAGGGGCTGGATCTGGTTAGCGCCCTTTGGGCACACCAGCTGAATTGGGCCCCATTCAAAGGCTGTCCAGAAGAGGAGTAGGAGATGATTGTGGTGCTGCCACCCACCTTATGACCTTTAGACTAGTGGTTAGAGTGCTCACCTGGGATGTGTGAAACTTGGTGGGTGTCCTAACAACTGGACTACAGAGTCATTCCCACTCTCTCCCCCCAATCACGCTTTCATGATTTAACCAGAGTGCTTCAACAGGAGAGACTGAGGGAGCCCCAGATCAGAACATCCCATAGTTCAGTAGTCAAAGCATTCTCCTGAGAGGTTGGACTTCCCTGTTCAAATCTTTTCTCCCCTTCTGCCAGGAAGGGGGGGAATTGAATATGGGTATCACACATCCCAAGTGAGTGTTCTAACCAGTGGGCCAAAAGTTATAAAGTTGGACATAACCACCACCTCCTCCTCTATGCTGACACCTAAATTATTCTTGCAAGAAACTATGTAGGCACCTAAGCCAGGAAAGAAATTCCTTTTCGTGGGTCCGTAGCAGAGCTAAGTGCCTCACTGTAGCCTGGACTTAGGAGCTTTTCTCTGAGAAAGGGCCACTCTTTAGCACATTGTCATCTTCCATTGGCTAGCATAGGCAGGGAGCCACCTAGCATGCTGGCTTTTGTGGATCACATTCAAAGATGCCTTTCTCTCCCCATTAGGGAGAGGTTCACTAGGCTTTGTGAATCAGACTTGTTCCTGTGAATTTCTAGGCACCCAAGGTGCTCAGCATTGCAACACCTAAGTCCCTTCCTGGATTCCATCCCTAGAGTCTAAACATATAGAAGTCTTTCTGTTAAGCAGAAGATATTGACCAAGTGGGAATTGTTGCAGCTCTTGTTTCTGTTTGTTAGCACTTTTATTATTTAAAACATTTTGAAGTGATTAAACACTAGTCTTAACTTCTAGAAGGAATACTTTAAGCCAGTATTTTGGATGAAAATATTATTCCATAGCAAAGTAACTGTATCATTCAAAAACTACTCGGCTTTCCCCTCTTCAACCTTCTTTTACAGAACATATTTTATTTGCTAAGGTTTGAAAAACTCAGGACTGTTTGAAAAAAGCCCAAAATATGTCAATAATTTCTACTGAGGCAATGTCTTTGTCATCTTGAGGTTTTTTTATCAGTTTAGAATTGACATACATTAATTCCTACCTTAAAATATTTCATGACAACTATTTGCCAACCACTTTTAAAATTAAACTCTTTAGATTAACAAAGCATTATACTATATTTCTTTTATTTCCTATCAGACATTTCACTTCCTATTTTATAGCATCATGTAATAAAAAGTGTATGTTTTTAAAAATTTCTTGATTTGATTTCAATTAAAACACAGGGTATAGGCAGTACATTGAGATTAATTGGTTAAAGCCAAAATCATTAGTTGCCACTTACTTTGCTTTTGCTTCTGCATCTTCATAGGCCTTATTGGAAACATCATCCAGACCTCCAATCAAATGTTTGAAAGAGCTGTAAGAATAAAGTGAAATTTCTAAGATATATGACTTTTCTAATATGGAATTAAAACAAGAAAAATATGTTTATTCAACAGCATGTCACCATCTTGACCTTGATCTATCAATAAGGACAGATATGATCAACAGAAGCTGGGAATGGACACAAAGAGAAAGAAGTAGAGAACTAATATGCTCACCTCACATTTCATTTTCAAAACACTTTCATAAATGTTTAATAAGAAATAATAACACATACATAAATTAAAAGTAAGGCCCAGTCTTATTCCTCAAGCTATTTTAGGGACTGATCAAATTGAACTCGGTGGCAAAACTCCGACTGACTGCAATGGCCATATTTTGCTTATAATTTCTATAAAATGTTAGGCAAAAAAGTCGTAATAATGAGGGTTATTTATAACTGTGTATATAGTGCAATAACCATCAGCTTCCCTTTAGACATGGCCTTTTACGTAATAATAATCATGGTTATGACTGAAATATCACATAAACATACACACAACACAACTCTTTAGTTTTGCCACTTTGTTGAAGTCAGAATTTTTGAAATTATATGACATACACTACCATTTACACACAACTTAGTAAAAGCAACAGGAAACGCATTAACTAAAAACTGAAATGAAAGACTATCTTTGAGCTTCCATGAAAATTATGTCCTTTTAAGAATTTTACCATGGTTAAGGACTATAATTTTAACTCTTAAGATGTGTTCGTGATTAAGCTAAGACCTCTTTTCACAAAGGAGCTGATTACTCAGTAGTGTTTCAAAAATATGTATAAATTTGTACCATGGTTTCAGGGTTGTCTTTGGCAAAGAAACCTGGCCATGTGCGTGGCTGCAAACTCTTATCTGGATAACAGTGAAATCAAAACATACATACGCAAAATATGTTCATTGACAAACATCTTATTAAATCTTTGGGCTCTGAATCTAGATTTCATGGGCGATTTGTATAGTATTTTCTCTTCTATAAAGATTTGAATGTAAGGTAGTCAAAGGACAAAAAGCTAAAGCTACAGCAGACAAAACTTATCCATAATATAACCCTGTGGCATACACATAGGCAACTCCTGACCCATCAGCATTACTGCTAGTGAAGCCTGCCAATCAGCCAGATGTCTCTGCAAGAATACCTTTCACAGCTTGGCATCTGTGTCTTGTGAGTGCCAACTATATGCCATTTGGGGTTATGAGTACTGGCCAAATCCGTGAAAGATGACAAGGAGAAAGAAGAGATGAGTTTATGTATATTATTGTTTGCTTGCACCACCTACAAATATGTGAGCAAGAAGGAGGTGCTGTTGTAATGCCCCTGGTATTTTGTAATGCCCCATATATTTTGTAATGCCCCTGGTATTTTGCCAACTGCCAGAGGAGTAAAATGATAGCTTAGATATGCTTGAATGTAGTTATGAAAATTATTTTTTGCAATGTTCATGAATAAGTGTTTCCACAGTGAAACAGCATGTAATAGAATAATAAGAATATTTAGAAGTACTACAAAAATTAGTCTATTATTATTAATATTCTATTTAAATATTCAAACATTGCATGCTTAGGATACAGCTGGATCCTAAGGTCCATAGGAATAATCTCTTTTTCTTCCATTCCAACCTTCCACCACTGCATCAAGCTGACTTTCCCCAGGATTTCAGCAGTGTACCAGGATACTTATAGCATTTTACATCTTCTTCTTCTATCCAACTGTCTCCATGAACAAATCTTACCCCAGCCTTAGGTCTCCTGAAAGCTGTGAGAGGAATGGGCTTGAAAGGACCTTGTGGAATATCATTACTTATTAATAAAATAAACCTCAAAAGAATGTTTAATCCTAAACCACAGCCTGTATAAGATCAGTGGTGCTAGGATAGAATGAAATCTGTTTTACTTTCCATCAAGCTTCAGCTGTGTGTCAAACAACTCATCATATAGAGAGACGACACAGCCACCCTTGCTGAAATCCCCAAATTCACAGCCATTTCATCAGAAGTTAAAACAAGGGCTTTAGAGTAAGGAGATATCTGTAACAACAACAAAAAAACACAGCACCACCTCCCCATTCCTCTAAGCATTTCCATGCAGAAAGTAGCACATTTGGGCTCAGTTGTTGCATTGCTAAAAGAGCTGGGGAGAGGACAGCATCGTCATCATGTGCTCCTGAATGCACTGTGTCTTAGTTGGGAAGTGCGAATGAGGCACTAAGTGGGGCTGGCAGGCTGCAGGCTGGCAGGAAGGGAAGGTCATAAGCTCACCCCTTTGTAGGATATGTAGCACCAGCCGCTCATTCCCAAAACAGGGGCACAAGGGTAGCAGGATGCTTTCTGTACCCTCTCCTTCCTCACAGACAATGGTGTTTACTTTTTTTTTTTTTTTTCAACAATATTCTGTTATCCCACTGCTGATGATATTTGTGTTTTAATATGAACTTTCAATCCAGGACACAGCAGGAGAAACAGAAGAGACATATAAACGTGTTTATGATATCAAAGTTTCAACAAAAATGGTTGAGATCATGCAAATGACTTTATAGCAGAATCTACTAAAGAAAAAGATGGTCAGTGGAGGAGACACCTCCTGTTTAAATACAAATATGTCACGACACTGTATCTACGTGTGTTAGGAAATCAAGTAAAATAGATTTATGCTTAAATTTGATACCATATGTTTGAGAGTTTTCTCATTGTCACAATCTTCTTCTTTTTGAAGAAAACAGTTCACAACTCAAAATTTCAGTAACAGTGGCTCTCTTTGCCTAGAAGTTCAGCTTTGTTCTTAACAGATTTTGTTGTTTGATTTTCACAGGCATGTGTATGCATTTGATTGTGATGGGAGTTCCAATATTTGAGCTGCTGAATTATTAAAATCCCAAAAGAAAGGGAATACTATTAGCTCAAAATAGGGTCATGCGACAAGTCTTTGACAGGACTCCTACTTTCTACACAGAGTTTGTCTTCATGCAGTCAATCCTTTTGGTAAGTCTCCTTGGTTCTGGTCATCCCATTCACCAGGAGGCACATCCAGGCAGCAAGCTCTCTCAAGCTCTTGGCTGAGAACTCTGCTCTCCTTCCTGGTCAGCCTTAAATTGAGCGGGGCTTCCTTTATATAATTCTCCTCTGCACATCTGATATCTTCTACAGGTGTAGCAGAGTGAATCCAATTGGGCTCATTGGTCTTCATTAATCCCTTCCTTGTCAGAGTGGTGGCCTGTTTGCCCCCCAGGGTCTCACTGGTAACAGCCTTTGAACTATTTAAGGTCTGTTTTGTTAAGACATTTTGCTGCAACTAACATGTAATTGAAGAAGATAGTGAAGAGAAACTAAAAAAATTAACTATTCTCTTTGCTTCTTTCTTCTTCAGACTCAGAAGAGTAAAATCAATAGTTTAACATATATGTCAGCACACAAAGTATGTGAGCTAATACCTTTTATTGAACCAACTTCTGTTGGTGAGAGAGACAGCAGAAGTTGGTTCAATAAGAGATATTACCTCACCCACCTTGTCTCTCTAATATCCTGGGACCGACATGGCTACAACTACACTGCATATATGTCACAACTGCTCTGTTATACTAGTCACTTGGTACCAGATTTGTAAAGGTATTTAGGCACATAAAGATCAGGTAGGAGACTAATGGGATTTCCAAAAGTGCCTTGGAGCCTAACGCCCATTTCTTTTTAAAATCCCACTACGCACTTATCTGTATCTTTAGGCACCCAAATACCTTTAAAAATCTGGCCCTCAGTCAGTCAAATGATTAAGCCTGTCAGTCATTTGGTTAAAGGGCTGACAACAAGGATGAAGCATTTGACAAAATGCCTAACATTGCTCAATGAATTAACCAACAAAAGGAATAACGATATTGTATTTTATTGCATGCTATCAAATGCAAGGGAGCACCTATCATTCTGTAACGGCAAATGCCATGTAGCATTGTATCATGAACAGGCTACTTTAGCAGTAGCTGTAGCTCAAGTTTTATTGGCTGTCATATTACAGCTTTGAAACATTTACACCTATTGATTTTGTACTTCTTTTACCCTGAACATTTATATTTAGTTCATCTTGGGATACCAGAAAAAGATCAATACAAATGTAAATGCAAATGTTACCAAAATGGCAAATATAAATAAAACATGGGCCCCATCAGAACTTTCGAACACCCCTACATGCGGAAGAAACCTGTGATTCATCCCCATCTCTATAAATATTTTTCGCTCAGCTTGTGGGGCAAATGCCAAAATTCCCTCTCAGTATACCTGATGGGCAATATATGGCAGTTTCATGATGAATTATATTCAAAATCATACCAAAAATGATTTTTGGATTTCTCACCCTTCCCCTTCTTGCATTTTTTCTACATGCAGAATGGTCACAACTAAATCCTCTCCTTTCTTTCTTTAATTTGGTTTACAAAACACAGCTCCTCCATATTGAAAGTGTATAAATTATCTACACAATTTTTATACAAAACTTACTCATAAAATTTCAAATTGTACCCTCCCAATCTACTCATTAGCACTAGTAAGTCTTCCTTCTTATTGCATCCTTATTCCACAAAAAGCCTATATAATCTTTTCAGAGAGCAGTGAAAGTTAAACTCAGGCGGTGTCAGACCAGAGGTGCAAAGATTTCCAGAGCCAAATTCCGTTATACAAGCCTCTTTCCATTTAAACTGGATGAACAGAAGTATAACAAGAGGAAATATTTTAACAGTAACCATTTTTATTTGATTTAACATGGGGCTTCACAAAACACAGGCAAATATTTCCTTAGATATACACATGGTACAACCCTGCAATTGTGGGTAGAATTTAACCACAAGGGAAAATAAGCAAAGATACCTGACAAATAAAAGAGTACTATAAATGTTCATGTTTACCTATGCCATACCTTTGATCATAAGAAAATGGAGTTCTTGCATATGCCTTTTGGTGCTGAAAATCCCACGTCTAGGCTTTTCAACATTTCTGAAGGGTTTTGTAAGGTCAGTCATGTGGTGATATAAGCTTTGCCTTGTAGTTCACAATTCCCATGATCCTTTGGATATCTACCACATCTTTTGGCTCCTGAAGCTCTAATATGGGCTGCATATAATTTGGATACATTTCTTTCCCACAGAAACTAACGAAGTGACCAACATACTTTATTTGTTCTGTTGTGAGCTGGCATTTATCATTCAATGTCAAACCCGCTTGCTGAAGATTTCCAAGCTCAGCATATAACTATGCCAGCTGAGCCTGTATTTCATTGATGGCGGAAAGAACATTTCTCCTCCAGCAGACATTTTTGTCAGTTTTGTTAGATTAGCATGGATCTTTATGTTACCATTAGGTGGAAGCACTACGAACACTTCAGCACCCCAAGGAGTGGTTTTCCTTTATGCAGGCTGTTATCCTCATTTGCTCTGTCATCTCAAATTCTTATTTTACTTTCCCCATCAGGATAATGGAAAGGTTGCCATGGCCTAGTGAGAGATGAGCTCTCAGTCCTATTAAGAATACTCCAAATGGCCAGCCTAACACACACAGCCTCTGACAATTGAAGTCCTACCACTTCTCTTCTCACGGAGGTGGTCTTACAAATAAAAAAGAGGGGGTGTGAAAAGTGAGTGTCTTATGCCTGCTCAGGGGAGGTGGGGCCCTTTAGCTGCAGGCAGACAACTCACCCAGGAGAAGGAAAACTGAATTAAATCCTCTGAAGACAGAACACATATTTTTAGGGTAGTGGGCAGCAGGAGTACTCTTATAGAGAGACAAATAGAAACAGCATTCACACTCCTGAGAACCAACTGGCTGGTGTAGTACCCTTGAAGGGAGAAGCAGCAGCCAACCTGTGGGTATTGTCAGGCCTCACCAGCCAGAGACCTAAACTGTGGCAGTAGGTGACATGCTGGATCTTTGTTCATTTTCACCTCGCACTTAAAGGATGGAAATAGTTATTGCCTTTAAGGGGTGGCTCATCCAGCCTACATATAACTCCACCAGGGACTCCCAAATGTTGGGAGGGCTGTTTTGGCCTACACTGGCAGTTTGCTTGCCTCAAACCTGGCAGCCCTGGACCAATAAGATCGCAAAACAAATGATTAACAAAAGTTTGTGAGTTGTTACTTTCATGGTGTCATCCTTAACAGGCCGGTTAAAGTGCGAAGCTGGCCAAGATGATGGTCTGAAGAAACATTAATATACTGTGCATTCAGGAGATCAGGTGGTCAGGAAATGCAACCCGAGAAATGGGTCTGGGTATAAGTTGTACTATGTAGGTGGTGGTGACAGGAGAAATGGTGTAGGAGTGGTGACTCACAATGAATTTTGTAAAATCTCCATCTTCCCTATTTGCCTTTGACAGAAATAAAAAATGGAGACCTCCCTTAACATCAGGGGTACATTTTCAGAATTACATGTGTTTTCAGCTGCATGAACTCAAATGACTTTAATGGAATCTGAATAGCTAACACTTTGCACACTGTTCCCTTTCTCTGTGTTTCAGAATGTTAGTTTTCTAGTCTCTCGACTTGTAGATCAATAGATGTTGCTGGAGATATATTGTTCAAAGACAAACTTTACATAAACATGCAAGCTAATAATCACATCATGCTGACCAGGTTAGTTGTTTTGTTGCAGAGCATATGTTGCCACTTTTGACACTGTGAGTACTTTATTACTTTACTAAAACAAAAGCTTCTTGAGATATGAAAGCAGGGAATGTATGGTAATTCAAGCACAGTACATGATACCATTTCACCTACTTCATTCTATGTTCAATCCCTAACTGCCTAGCACATAGAGCTGTGTTTCACTTGGTGATCTTAGTTCACAGTGATTTCATGCAAACCTTCTTTCACACTTTGATTTCTTTAGGTTTGAAATAATGTTGAAATGAGCTCATCCAAAACGTATTTGCTTTGGCCTGGGTTTGGACTTAAACCTTGCAAAACAAGACTTCTGAGTGATTTCCACCCAAACCCAAAAGTCTCACCCGCAGCTGAAACTTAACCCAATTTCACTGTGAACTTGCGCCACATTCACAAACCTCACCAAAACGTTATTTGGAACATGGCCAGTGTGTAGGATTTGTAATGGAAACTGACACACTGCAAGTCTTCTCTAGTTGGGGGTCCATGAATCCAGCAGGGTTGGAAACTTCAAATTAACAGCAGACTTCTACTGTTTTAGCTAATGGAGTAACTGGTAGCAAGCCAAGGTTGTTATCCTCAATCTTACCACTAGAGGGGGATAAGATACATATTTTGTCAAATAGTGTCACAGTTATTTGCTAGACAATAGAGAATTAATGACACTCAGGAGTCTTGGGTTCTGTTACAGGGTTTGGAAGGGAATGTGTTCTACTGGTTTTGGACCCTTCTACTACTACCGTCGCCCCACAGCTCTGTGCCCCCGTGCACTCTCCGCTGCTCTCTATTTCGCTCTAGTTGCTTCCTCCTCCTACTCAGGTTCCAGGAAGGGAGCATTCAGAGTACAGGAGAAACGATATCCTTGCTCTTAATTCTGGTAGCACAGCAGATCCTGGCAGTTGGGAGGAGCAGCTGCAGGGAAAGTTCTATTCAGCCCCTACAACCCAGGGCTGGAGCATGCTCAGTACAAGCAGAAACTTGAGAGGCCTATAATTTGGCCAAATTTGTGTGAATTTTTACAAGGCTACCAAAAGACATTTTTCATTTTTCTGAGTACAGAACCCTCCCTGCCAAATTTCTAGTCCCTGCTTCAAAGCAAGGAAGTGCTAGAGCTTCTAAATAAATCTGACATAAGAATTCAACATTGGCAAAACAATATATTTTTCCATTTCTTGTTTCTGGAGATGGCTAATCATTGTTGCTGGAACTTTCCATTACAATTCAGTTTGAGGCAGACGCATGCATCAAAAATATCAGCCCAAATGGTTAAAGTTTAGCAAAGTAATAAGCTACTGAAAACAGGGTCTTCTAATGGAAATTGTCAGACAAACTTATTTCTAGGCATCACTCCCAGCTCTGTCCATAATAGAGGGCACAGTATCAGCCACTGTAGGTGAAGTAGAGTCCTAATTTCCATTGACACCTCCCTTCCTGTTGCTCACATTTTCCAATTCCTTTCAGGCTTAATGTTTTAATGTTTAGTTCAGCCCAAAGGGAAATATTCTTGGAAAGTGGGAACAAAACTGGTGCCCAAGTTCAGAGTTACTTGAATGTGAACTCAATAATTGCACAGTATTTCTCAACAATTATCAGACTGCAGCATGTGAAATATCCAAATAATTTCCTGTTCTACAGGTATAGATAAACGCAGGGTTACCATATATGCCACAGTATAGTAGTTGTTAGTAAATGTTGACTTTTTAAATGGCAACCCCTGCATTTTCTAATCAGAAATTCTGCAGGCAGATAACTCAAAAATGACTGAAATTAGAAAAATGCAAACTTAGAACAACACTGGTGACTTTGCAAGCAGAGGTAATAATATAGATAGTATAACAATATAATATAGACAACTATAATCCAGTGAAAAATGAAATATATGATGTGTCTTCTAAAATTAAAGTGCAGTTTGAATAATATATAAGATAAGACAAAATCCTCTAGGTATTAATGTAAACAGTTTTTTTTTACCAAGGCTTTAAATATGTACTTTGTATACTTCAAAATAGATTTTTCACTGTACTAAGATAAGCTTCTCCACTTACTATTGCATATATAAAATAATCAATTAAAAGCTGTAAAACAGACTCTCTAGGGCCACAGAACTGTTATGCTTGCCTTGAACTATAAATAGCGTTATGCAACTACTCTTCCCTTAATTGCAGAACATTGCTAGGAATCGCCAGTATATACTGTGGATTAACTACTGTCTTAGAAGTTTAAATTTAAATGTGTGATTTCTTACTAGTACGGGAACATTTTTAATGGTGAAATGAAAACGTATGAGACTGGAAAATGACCAACTGGTAATATAACCCAATTAGGATTAATTTTTGAATGACTATATTTATTAATTGTACTTGTGATTAAGCTGCAAGACAAACAAAATGTCTGTACAGAATTGTTCAGATAAAATGTGATAGTTGGTCCATAGTTTTCTTATTGAATATTTGCTAAAATGAGTGGGCTAAGTAATTTCCCTTTATCGCCAGGGAATGATGACGCATACTGTCTATTTTATGTAACATATACCTGGCTTGTGAATGTGTTATGAAAGCTGCTTAGCTGACAGTCCTAACGTCCACTGTTTGTGTATATTGGCTAGAACCCCGGTGTTTTCTGAATTGTTCATAAATTAAATTGTATACAGGAAGGGTTTTTTTAAAAGCATTATTCAGTTGCAGTTTAATAATAGATAAAATCTTATAAATGTATCAACCAAAGTCATTAACCAAGTTTTTAAAATGAAAGTTAAACAACATCTCCCTGCAAAATGATCAAAGTCACTAGTTAAGAACTATAATGAGTATCAACTGAAGATATTCAGTATTGTATGATAAGAAAACAATATACTTACTCTCGGTCTATGACAAGACAAGTTACTGCTTCAGCAGCAATGACATTGGCTGTTCTGACATCTTCCCTAAAAGAAAAAAACATCTCTTAAGTAAGATATAACTTTCTGCTAACAATCTTCATAGTTTAGAGTCATTAAAGTATCTCATGGAAGAAATTTGTATGTTACACAGTTTTACATTTAATCGATCACTGAAAAGTGTCCATAATTCACACAAATTTTAAGCATGTTCAAGTTTTAAAAAAAAATTCATACAAATGAAATAACAGAAATATAACTGCCCTTTGTAGATAACATCAGATATTCAGTTAGGTAATGTGCCATGTTTTTCACTTTCCTAATGAGTGGTTTGTTCTTTGCTATATACTGTTTATATAAGCCAATAACAATCATAGTTGTTAGAAAATTAGACAGTCACATATTTTTTTTAAAAATACATATATTCAGGGCTATAAGTCATGTCTTCCACCAATAAACTACATTTCATCTGCTCCTTACTTCACCTTACAGTATCTCATTACAGAAATATAACTGAATCATTCTCAATAACTAATGACTTTTAGAGCTAAATAGTCACTGTTTTGTGCGTAGTGTGGAAGGTAGGGAGAGAAGGATTCCCAAAGCTTCCAGTCTCTTGGGTGTCCTGTACAAGGACTAGGAACAATCACAGGCCAGGCACTTAAGTGAGTCCAGGGATTATTTCTTTAGTGCACCTTGGATGCACTCACTCCCATCCACACAATGTTGCTCCTTGGGATGGGTGCAAAATACAGCAGGCTACATCACATCCAAGGCATTGTTCAGTATGAACTCTCCACTCTGCACATTAGGGAGCTTGGGAAGGGATGGTACCTTGTGGGAGGCTCAATTAGTGTGGGATTTTCAAAAGCCCTCAGCATTGGCCTAACTCTGGTCCCATTGGTATTAATCATAGAATCAAAGAATATCAGGGTTGGAAGGGACCTCAGGAGGTCATCTAGTCCAACCCCCTGCTCAAAAGCAGGACCCATCCCCAATTAAATCATCCCAGCCAGGGCTTTGTCAAGCCTGACCTTAAAAACTCCTAAGGAAGGAGATTCCACCACCTTCCTAGGCAACGCATTCCAGTGTTTCACCACCCTCTTAGTGAAAAAGGGATTCCTTGAAATACAGCCAGCTCTCCTGGACGCCTTTTCCCTTCATGTTAGCTCCCCAGGGGATCCTACCCATCCGTTCCCTGAGGGAGTTGAAGTCTGCTTTCCTGAAGTCCAGGGTCCGTATCCTGCTGCTTACCTTTCTTCCCTGCGTCAGGATCCTGAACTCAACCAACTTATGGTCACTGCCTCCCAGATTCCCATCCACTTTTGCTTCCCCTACTAATTCTTCCCGGTTTGTGAGCAGCAGGTCAAGAAAAGCTCCCCCCCTAGTTGGCTCCTCTAGCACTTGCACCAGGAAATTGTCCCCTATGCTTTCCAAAAACTTCCTGGATTGTCTATGCACCGCTGTATTGCTCTCCCAGCAGATATCAGGAAAATTAAAGTCACCCATGAGAACCAGGGCGTGCGATCTAGTAGCTTCCGCGAGCTGCCGGAAGAAAGCTTCATCCACCTCATCCCCCTGGTCCGGTGGTCTATAGCAGACTCCCACCACTACATCACTCCTGTTGCTCACACTTCTAAACTTAATCCAGAGACACTCAGGTTTTTCTGCAGTTTCGTACCGGAGTTCTGAGCAGTCATACTGCTCCCTTACATACAGTGCTACTCCCCCACCTTTTCTGCCCTGCCTGTCCTTCCTGAACAGTTTATAACCATCCATGACAGTACTCCAGTCATGTGAGTTATCCCACCAAGTCTCTGTTATTCCAATCACGTCATAATTCCTTGACGTCACCAGGACCTCCAGTATTAATGGGAGTTTTACTATCGATGTTAGTGGAAGCAGTTAGGCCATTTCTGAGCATGTTTGAAAATCCCACTCTCATTTTTAAGGAGTACTTGTGGCACCTTAGAGACTAACCAATTTATTTGAGCATAAGCTTTCATGAGCTACAGCTCACTTCATCGGATGCATACTGTGGAAAATACAGAAGATGTTCTTATATATACAAACCATGAAAAAATGGGTGTTTACCACTACAAAAGGTTTTCTCTCCCCCCACCCCACTCTCCTGTTGGTAATAGCTTATCTAAAGTGATCACTCTCCTTACAATGTGTATGATAATCAAGGTGGGCCATTTCCAGCACAAATCCAGGATTTAACAAGGGAGGGGGGGAGAAAACCTGGATTTGTGCTGGAAATGTCCCAACTTGATTATCATACACATTGTAAGGAGAGTGATCACTTTAGATAAGCTATTACCAACAGGAGAGTGGGGTGGGGGGAGAGAAAACCTTTTGTAGTGGTAAACACCCATTTTTTCATGGTTTGTATGTATAAGAACATCTTCTGTATTTTCCACAGTATGCATCCGATGAAGTGAGCTGTAGCTCACGAAAGCTTATGCTCAAATAAATTGGTTAGTCTCTAAGGTACCACAAGTACTCCTTTTCTTTTTGCGAATACAGACTAACACAGCTGTTACTCTGAAACTCTCATTTTTAAATCCTTCTTCAGGAACTAAAATGTGTCATTTCAAACCACACATTCACCTAGAAATACATTTAGTTTACTTTCTGAATCTTCATTAATGAATCCTTCAATCTCCTGTTCTAGATCATACTGCAATACATGGCTACAGATCATAACATTTGATTTCAGTCAAACAGGTCCGTGACTTGAGTTAAGCCCTTAGCTGTTCATTAGTCCTAACTGAAGCTTAGAATAAATGTCACCCTAGATGCCATTTTTTTCTTCATAAAAAGAGACTTTAACTGTATTGAAATTTACAAATTATAAAGTGGTAAAAATAGAGATGGTTATGGTTTCAGTTTACATTGATTAACTAAGTCATTATTTTTACAGATGAAAATTCATTGGCAATTGAGCTGGATGCTCCTCATTCCTGTGCACCCTGGTTAGTCTTTCTAACCTGTGCAAAGTGGGTGTAAAAGTCTACAACTGGTACTCATCAGAGTCTTCTTTTTTAAGCACACTCTTCACATATGCATAAATGATGACAAAATAGTGGTGAATCAGGCCAAAACATGATATTCATAAGTTTGGAAAAACTCCGTGTATTGAACAAGGAGATTCATTTCTTGTCAATTTAAAAAAAAAAACAAAAAACCACACATGAAATGCATTTACATGGTGCGTTCATATTGTAGCAGGAGCAGTGAAATTTATGCTGGTCTCTTTGTAATATTGTTTTGATATACAATTAGGAAAGCAAAACAATATTAACATTAGTTTATGAGGACCTAATTATGAAGCTGATTTTATGTTAAATTTAAAAGCCAAACAATTAAAATTCATGTAATTGGAGACTCTTGTATCATTGCCATACTATGAAGCTACAACATTAAATAACACCGGGGAAATTACTTTGGTGCAAGTCTCCAGGCCATTGAACGATGCCATAACATTTTCATTATATGGGACTTCATGATGGAATAACTATTATTCTGAATCTATGGAGACACTGTTCAGCCAAAGGGGATGCTGCAGAAGAAAAGCATGTACTCCCTTCCTGCAGAAACTGAGAAAACTGCCTCCACAACACTCAGCTTCTGCTGAAGAAGAGTCATTATTAGGTAAAAATGAAACAATATCCATTCAGTTGTCTATATGCTACTGTGGCACGACTATTTTTCAAAAAGGAAATCATGCCATTACTATTATGTTAAAAATCTTAAGGTTCGGACCACCCCACATAAGGAAGGAAATTTTTGTTGCTGTCGTACCACTACCTGCATAATGTTCTGTTTCCTTACTGTAGCACATATGCCCTTTTATCGCGGATTCTCTTAGCTTGTATGCCATACAGTATGCACTGCCTTGAGCGAACAGATTTATTGGAACTGAACAGAGAGACAGGATAGCTCAGAATTTCCTTGCTTTTTTCAGCATTTTGTAAGAACCTTTGCATTACTATACTGTAATTTTTGTGCTTAATCATTTTTAAAAGGATATCATATACTTGGCCAACTGCCACATTATGGAGTTTATTTAACTGGTGTTCGGCAATCCTGTTCTAGTTAAGATTAAATGCCTATTCAAACTTTCAAAAGCAGAAGAAAAAGACTATTTGTATTCTTAGCAGTACAGAAACATTAGTACAAGTACAGTATAATATGCATATCAACTTTAAAATACAGTACATATATTGTTCCACAACATATGTACACATTAATACCAATTCTCTTACTATTATACTAGTTAATGTTAAGGTTATAAAAATTGCATTCACAGCTACAAACATGCAACTGATTAATAAAACTTTAGACTTATGCTAAAATAAGTTTTTAGTCAAAAGTTTTTAAAAGTGTGCCACTTAAAGGTAGCCATTAGCTACAATGCAGAACAAGCAAACAATCCAACATGAAATATTTTTTAAGTATTGTTTTGTGAACACTGACTCTGATATTTTCTCAACTTCATCATTGGACTCTTCCTCACTACTTCCCGAGAAACAGCAGTCTTCATCGGAAGAGTCACTTTTACTGTCTGAATAATCCATAGGCGATGTTCGCATCCACCATTTGCCTTTATGAAAACTGCTGTTTCTTTCTGCCCAGCTCCTGCATCTTGTCCTCTGGACTAGCTCTGGAACTTAAAACTTCTAGGCTTGGAAAAGGTCACAGCTGCTGTGGGGATATCTACTGTGTATCACTGGGAACTGTAAGCAGAGTATATTGCTCAGCCACAAAGAAGCATATAGTTAATGCAAGAAGGCAGTATTCTCATCACTGGTACTCTCTCTTACAGCTCTGGTGCAATGTGCCTGCTGTCAACAGACGTAGTAGCAAATCCTTTCTGCCAGGACATACTTAAGCGGACACCTGTTAACCTGCACATAGGGACAAACTAATCTGAATGCCAAAACCTTTTATTATTTGTTTGAATCAAGCTCAGCAGTTTCATACAATGTGACAAACATTATGTCTCAGGTTACTGGGTCAGCAGGATTCTTCTTCAAATTAAG